TTTTGTAGGCGTTCGCATTATAATTTCCTATTCACATACATATCTATTCTCCGTGTTGTTTGAGTATGTGGGCGATGTTTTGATGATGTGTTCAAAGAGATGATTGCGGTCAAGGATGTCGTAACAGGGTCATTTAATCAGCTCTAAATTAATGGACATATGGCTGTGTGATTTAAAGTTTTGATTTCGCTTGTCAGTGTGCTTAGAGATATGTACATATATATGCATGAGTGTACTCTGCTGAGCTGTGTGATGCTTCTTGATGTCAGCATTTTTTGATTTCAATAAACATTCATTATATTTGAAGGGGTAGGGTTAACCCCCTTTTTTCTTTTTTTTTTTTAAAATTTTTTTGTCAAAAAAACAAATGTCAGATTATTAAGTCGGGGTATCGATTTCTTCCGTCTTTACTTCACAAACAAGTTTTGATGGCTAATGCAAGGGGGCATTTTCATGTTCACGCAATAAGAAGTCTGTAGGGGTGTGATTGGGCGCATTGGACCGTAAAGTGTTCAGTGCGGTATAATTAGTGTAAATACACGATTTCATTGATATTGGACAAATCATGTGTAAGCTCTGGTCATCGTTTATCGTGCCGTTAAAGTTCCTTACTCAGCAAGGAATATCTGTTTCGATCACAATGAATGAGAAGTCATTGGTTTATGATGCCTCTTGCCCGGAGAAAACTGCGATGTGAAAGTGACACAGTTTATTTAAAGAAAAGAGGAAGGGAGAGAATCCCTTGAAGACTAACCGAGACCGAGCAGGAATAGAAGGGAACACGCCAGAACTTATTCAAAAGTTGAAAAAATTTTATTAAATAGAACACCTCGCATAAAACGTTAGAGTAGCCGGTACAACCATTTTTGAAACTCTGATCTGCTGAACTAAGATCAACGCAGAGTTTGTCTACAACTCCGCGAAAACAACAGCGCTTAGAGTGTTGAAGTGCATTATGGACCTCTCTATTGAAGAGAAGTATAGTGTATTGAGTCATATTGTTGCTGGGGACGAAACGTGGGTTCATCGGCATGAACCTGAGTTGAAACTAGACTCCAGACGTATTTCATTTCCAATTTTGAGATTTACTTCTCGGCTCGTCCCTCAATAAAGTCGAGCTTTGCTATCTAGGCAAAATTTTCACAAAAATGGTGGATAAGCAGCTGCTATATGTAATCGGAATTTCTATGTCAACATAGTTAACTAATCAGAACAGGATTCGAACCCTAGCCTTTCGAGCGGCAGTACGTATTACTAACTATATGCGACTCGGCCATCGGGGCCGCCAAGTTATATTACAATATTTTTCTTCAGCTCTTATGCTTTACCTCGGAACTGGGAAAAAATAATTTACTTTCCTTAGGTAGACGGTTAGATTTTTGTAATTTGTCTTGCCCTTAAGTGCGGTTAGGTCCTCCTGTGCATCTCCTTCATCGTTCGTTCACCGTTCGTATTCAAGACCTGTGTACTCGGGGCGGCCTTTGCCAGCATCATTTGATATGCAGTGCGGATCTAAGGGTTTGTTTGGTTCACCTCACCGAAGTTGTTACGCATTCCGAGTTCCTCGTTCTTAATTAATCATCGAATTCGATGGCAATAGATGTGAACTCACTCAACTGGAACTTCAGCGGCTAGTGATCGAAATCCTAGTGGCTTCATTCTACTCACAAACACAAACTTTCGAAAAAGAAAGCAATAAAAAAATAACGGTAGAAATAAAAGAGTTCTGCAGTGAATTTTGCAGTGTGGCCTGCTCAAATATGTAGTTAAAATTCAAAACACAACTAAAAACGATTATTTTAAACAACCAAAGGTTCGCCGAAGAAAGTGCAAAGACCGTTCGTTAAATTGAAATTCAAATGAGTTCACGGATTTGGCCATTGACTCGCAAAGAACCAACGTTATTCTGGTCGCATTCGTAAGCTCCTGAGGGCAACCTTTCATATTGTTCCTTGCGTCGGAGCGTCTGAGTGTCGCTGCGTATTTTCATAAATCTGTCGGTTAATAGCATGTTGCTCTTATTTTATTGCATAACCTTTGTCGTTGTTGTTGTTTTTTGTGTTTTTTATGTATTTTTATTGCTGAAGATATGAGTATATGTACGTGAATAATATATTGTATATATGTATGCAGTAGAACCCTTTTTCTTGCGACCACCTCCTTCGATGAAGATATTATCGGCAAAGCCTTGTGTAATCCCTTTTTACCACTTTCCAGCGCAACAAGCAAAGACAAGCACAGTTTCACAATCTCGTTATGTGGCTGCGTGCGTATTGTTGCAAGCAACAGTTGCTACATGCAACCAACCACCACAGCTGCTCTTGCTGCTCCCTCAGGTAATTTCGCAAATCTTTTTATTTATGTCAATGCGCATTTTGTATGCTCGTTATGCGGTTGTATGGGAGCTCATGTCTCATCATTGCTTGTTTTTTTGTTATTTTTGTGCTCATTTTCTTTTTCTGTGGTAATTCTTTACGTTTTTACGGAAAACAATGGCTCAAATAATGGGTTGGGTGCGACAGAGCCAGCGGCTGAGGTGTCATGTGACGAAATCTTCCATATGACTACTCTTCTTCTTCTTTTTATTTCCATTTCACCACGAAATCCCACTAATAATGCGATTTGGTGCCGCAAAAACAAAGAAAGCAAATAACAAAACGTCAGGAAAATAAGAAAATGCAGAGAAATAAAGTAAAAGTCAAAAGCTATGAGATCGAGGGTGCAAAATAATTTTACTACTTCCAAAGCTTCAAAGGCTGAGCATGGTGTTAAAGGGTTTGCAACAACAACAAGATCGTTTGCGTTGCTGAGTTTAGCATCATCATCCAATTCGAATTTGCGTTGTCCCTTTCGTTGTTTATAAGTTCATAAAAGTCAACGAGCCGCAGCGAGCACACACTACCACTCACACTCGCAGTCACAATCACACACACACACACACACACTAACTCACCTTCAACTTCCACTTGGAAGTGCATAAAAAATCCACACATTATCCTCTGCTTTGGCAAATACTACCCCGCACACGTCGACTGAAACAAATAAAAGAACGCACGGGCCACACTTAAAGACATCTGTAGACGAAACTGGCAAAGGCGTCGTGCGACATGTTCATCCCTTTGCATCCTCAGCTCTCCTTTCTTCATTTGCCTGCTGAAGTGAAACATTTTTTGCCTTTTTCCTTCCACACATGACAATGTTTATCGTCCAAGAAGTGTATAAAAGAATTTGTTGCAAATTCAATTTTCCGAAAAATATCCTTATGCTTTTTACATGCAACAAAAGCAACGAAAAACAACAAATGTACAGTAGCAATATAATGCAAGGTGTCGCATGGCATGCCATAATATGTAATTGAAAACCTACACGGAATAGCACTCTGGGGTAAAGGTAAGCGCCTGGCGTCAGGAATTAACCCTTTCGGTGGACTGGAGTGGGTAGTGGTTATAGTGAAAATTAAGGTTGCTGAGAATGGGAATAAGAAATTAATGTATTTAACTACATAAATATGAATGAAGGTTTACAGTGGATTTTGATGAGTAGCTTTTATTTCAGGTCAGAAATACGCAGTTATAATAATTCATTTTGGATGTTGGTCGAATCCCTGGTATTCCGAATGTCAGTAAGCTATGCTAACCATTTGGCGATTGCGGCGATTAGTACATTGCAGAAATACTCGCAGACTCTAAGAGGGCCTGTGGTCCCGGTTATAATTCTATGGCAGAAGTTTGAAAAGTGTATTTAATCCAACAGCCGATAGATACCCTTTAAGCTGCTTTCCCAAACATGCATTACTTTTCCATTTCTTTTCAAATCAGTCCTCTTTTTCAAGTCTGAAGCACTTGCGTGTTGCGTTTGTTGTACATATTTTTTCATCTATGAAGGTATTAACCCGAATTACGTGAACTGTTTTAGCTTGATCATTTTTCAGTGAGAATATTTCTTCATTTCTATCCTGCACTTAAAAAAATTTCTAGAGAAAACCCTAGTGACAAGTAGTTCTAAAGAGGCAAAAATGTTTCCTTTGTCGTTGCAAAGTTTTGCTAAACACCTAGTTAAATACAGTTATGGAATTAGTCTGTCAAGCAAACATAACTCGTCAGTCAGCTGACTTTTATCTTTGTCTCTAGGGAAGACCAGAATGTTTCCGAGAATTTCGATATTTGTGGTTTGGTTCATCATGAATTTGTTTAAACGGGACAGACGGTCAGTAAAAAGTATTATATGAGGGTTTTGAAGCGTTAGCAACGACAGCCGTTTTGACACGATAGAAGCTATAAAATAAAATTCGGAGAGGGAACTGAGGTCGACTGATTTTAACAGCTGCTGCAAGCAAACTGGTTGACAGATTGCGCTCACTTTTGGCATAGTAGTTAAGGTCTTAATATACAACACGATGATCTTCTACGATGTGGCGATTGCCACATTTTGGTCTTTATTATACCAGCCGTATACTAGTCCAAAATGAACTAAAAATTACTTGTTTTGATTTAAAATGGGCATACAGGAAGTAGAATAGAATTATTATTATTTTTTACATCCAATTATTAGTTTTGCCATTGGTACTATTTTGGCATTTTGCATTTACAAAAACTTTCATTACGAATCTCATTAATTACCCCTCAAACTATTACCGAATAAACACTTTCACTGCTGGCCGCGACCTTAAACACTTGACATTCACTGCCGGCGCTGAGGTGAGAACAAATATTTACGGGCAAACACTTTGGATTTAATTTTATTGTTCGAGCGTCGCACAATTTAATCAACTTTCGAATTGATAAGAAGGCAGTGAAGCAGAGAGCTTCAATCGTTTTGCTTGCGGGAGAACTCGTTCGTCGCACGCAGTTGATTAGCGCGCTGTTGAGTGACTGTTTAATGGACATCGAGATAACTGAAACATAAATTTTCGGCTTTTGAGTGGGTACTTGAGGTTTCTAAGCGTTCTTGAATGAGATTGCTGATTTAATGATCAGAGTTAATCAATGAAATTATTGAGGTCAAATTACAGTGCAAAACACCGTATATTCATATATTTATGCAGTAAGGTCATTTTATTTTGCAATACATGTATTATATATATTTATATTGCTAGATTATAAAATTCTGGTTCAGTATACTCCCATTAAGTCGCCTTAAATATACGAAAACTGAGTACTCAAGTAAATCAAGCCAATTTACAGCTTGCCTGCCCTCATCTTGTCCTCCTCTCATTACCGCTACGCCTGCACCGCCATATGCTGCTCTGCGCTCTCGGTCTCCTCACTCGACACCGCCGCCCTCTTCAAGACACGCATCCTCGAGTAAACGATGTCCCAGTCAACGAAGCCGCCGACAATGTGGCGCACATTGCGCTCGGAGTCATCGTAGCCCGTACGGCCGTGCAACATGCGCAAATTGTTGAAGGACAACACGTCACCTGGCACCGTTTTAAAGCTGACCGACTGCTCATGAGCCATGCGTACGAATGTGGCATTGGCCTCATACCACGGCACCACCTTATCGACATCGATGCTGAAGTGGCTGTCACGTTGGGGCACGCTGTGATTGATGCGCACATATTTGCCAGTTGCATCAAGGCTATAACAACAAAAAGAAACAAATACACAAACAAGCCGGAAAACTGCTTAATAAGTCGAAGGTGTACAAGAAAGTGAAGAGTAAGTAGTGTAAAATCTGCGAAGATGAAGATGGAATGAGTGAAATGAATCGGAGCGGAAGTTGTTACGCAATTATGGTAATTGGCAGGCCAAGGCGAGTATCTCATTGTGATTGGCGATGGCGATGAGTTATTGTTATTGTCTGCTTGACTTACTTTATAACCGGTGCACGCCACATATTGTGGAAGAACTTATCAGCATCCGCGCCGATGTCACACCAATTGACTAGAGTTTGTGAGAGATTCTTGAAGTGCTCTGGATGCTGAGCGCGCAACTGATCGGCGATGTTGAAGGCATCCACCAGTGTATTCCAGCCGCCCTTGGAACGCGACTGCTCGAGTGTGTGAAGCAGAGTGACGCTGGGCTTGTATTCGTAGTAGGGCAGATCAGTATGTAGAGGGAGTGGCTTAGAGAGGTAGGAGTAGTTTTTAGCGCCTGGACGTGAACGCACGCTGAACTCTTCGCTGAAATGGAACAAACCATAGATTTTTGTGTAAAAGGGACTACCGAAGAGCATTTACCCATAGGTCGTCCTTCGTATGAAGCCAATGCGATTTGCTAGAGACTTCACTACACCGATATCCAACGGAGAATTTTTTAACATTGCTATCCCATACACAGCCAGGGTATCCAGCCATTCCAAAAAAGCTTTAAAATAAAACAAAGCAAGTCTTAAATATTATGGCACTAGACCTATGGTTCGCTCTTCAGTTGCAAGCCTGAAGCGTCTGATTGAAATGTCGTTGGCAAAAAGAGTGACCCGCTAAACTGCTAAATCTTTGTGGTAATTTTCTTGCATAAAATCTGAAGTTTACTTTTTTTTGTAACAACGTTTCCTCCATTTGAATATACTCACTAGCATCACTGCGCATCACTTCCCAATAATCAAATTTCTTCAAAATTTTTGCAAAATCATCTTTGCCCCAAAGCTTGGACTGAGGCCGATACCATTCATTCAAAAATTGCTCGGATGTTTTTTGGGAAAAGTTTCGTTCTCTCAACCAATTCAATGAGAAACTGGAATGATGATTATCGGACCAGGAGATATTTACGGACTGTAGCGATTCATCCACCTGGGGAAATGTTCAATTAGGTATTATTTCCGAGCACTCATTCTTCCAGCAAATACTAAATCTCACTTACCGTTATATGCCGAACTTTCACCTTCGTATCGAAATTATTCCAACGCAACGGCTTGCGGCTCAAGGAATCTTGATGAAAACACTGTTCACACTGACAGTTGTCACGTAGCCAAATGCCAGGAAAGATCATCGGCTCTTCCTGTCCCGGCTGCTCCTTGACCAGCAACATTTGATCTTGCGCGCGCAGAGAAGCGCTGAGTTGGCGAACGTAAGCAACGCCTTGCTGCCGAAACGCAGGCTTAAGAAAATTCACTACACAACGCTTTGTTACTGTGGACATCCTCGGTGATGACGATGTAAAGACAATGAAATTGCTATTACGATTGCGTGTTCTTAGCGCAAAAGACTGAGAGGAAATGAAAGCTAAACACTTGCGCTTTGAGCTTATAAATACCGTGGGAGAAGACTTTTTTCTGGCGAAACTATGTCGATTATGACATCAATAAAATTTTCATTCATGATTTATATCTGAAGTTCAGCTACTAAGTTTACAATTTGTTGACTCTCAACCGACTCAGGCCAATGACTGTATGAAAATAGAATGAAAATAGAATGTTCTAATTATGATAAGATCTGTGATAAGAATTGTAATTTTGTGTCGTGTGACGGTAATTTCAAAGACCAACAATTTCTCTTGTAAATGATTTATTAGCGATTAAATTTATATTAAAATCTTTTAATGAATTTTAAATTTGTATGATATATATTTTATATGTTAATATATACATATACAGCAAATAAAAAATAAAGCAAAAGGAAATTAACATTAAATTAAAATAAAATAAAATGAAATAAAACAAAGCGAAATAAAAAATAATAAAATGATTATTAAATTAAGTTTAAATAAAATAACAACTGATCATAAAAATTAAACAAATTAAATTTAATTTAAATTACTCACCTTTTGGTTATCTGAAGTCGCCGACGTTTACTCACAGGGTCTACTTGTATAAAAGATCAGCTCATTTTCTTTACCATTCTGCGGAGACCACGTCGTTATTTGTATTGGCACAACAACGTTCGAGTAATGAGTAGAGATAAGAGTACAAATTGTTTTGTTTGGGATATTTATGTCAGTATACATACATACACAACAGCTAGAATTATTTATTTTACATGCGCCTATTTGGCTTTGCGACAATTAGCAACAATCGTATAATATTTATTTTGTTAACTGAAAAATTATGCAATTCTATTGCAAACACGAGAAAGTAATAAAATAAGGCATAAGGCGTCTCGAAGTATCAGAGAACACTGTCAGTGACTTGAGGTATTGAGCTCAGCAAGAAAATAATGCAAGGCTTGAATATGATGAAATAGTATATAGGAGAAAAGGGGATAGTCTGGTATGCTTCAGGGCTTGATATATAAGCTCCAATTAATACGCTTTTCTTATCAGATTATTTCTACACCCTGACGTTGAAGTGTTGCAGGCAAATCCCCTTACAATGCATACTATCCGTTCCATTGGCAATTTTCGCGGCTTCTAAGTGTCTCTTGCGATGCTCCCAACACGGGCCTTAAGAGACCCTATATGAAGCCGAAAACGTTAACTATGTATGTGCAAGCAAGCAAGTCATTCATTTTGTGATTAAAACAGAATTATTTTGCATTGAAATAAAAGAGAAAAATCCACCAGTCCGTACGTGAAAAGTATTTTAAAGAACTTCTGCTCCATTACACTTGAATGCAATATTCTCATAACGTTTAAATGCGTAAAATGGGAGGCATAAAAAGAACAATCAGTAAATTCCAATAAACATAAATGAATGGGCAGAAATACTTGATGCAGATATATCGGTGTGTTTGTTGTGATTGCATACACTTCAGCTTTTGTACTGAACTGTTGCATTTTATTGTTGCTATTGTTTTGTTTTTGTCCGTGTTTTTTTTTTTTTTGTTTTGCTTTATTTTTTCAAACTGCTCAATCAGCATTTAGCAAATTGCAAAATGTGCAAATATTTTACAAACAACAACTATAAAATGATACGCAATACCGTTGCCAAGGAGAAGAGTAAATGAGGAACAATTATATGCAGCATGTTGCGTGTACACGTATGTATGGGTATAAATGTTGCATGCAACAATAGAGTATACATTAGAATGCTTAGGCTTGAGTTGTCAGCTATGAATGAGTTGTAGACGAGAAATTAAAAATGCAAAATTAATTTTTGCAATCGCAATCGATTTTGCATAATTGTCTGACAACACATACGCACACATATACGTATATATAGCTGAAAACACTTACTAATGTAACCATGGAAAGTATCATGCGGAGTGATATCCATTGGAATGGAGATTATTTCTAAATTTTTAACTATTTTCTGCCTAGTGAGTGCAACGAAGAATTCAAATTTAAATAAAAACTATAATCGAAATTGAATTATTTTAGCAACTATCATGGACTTTAGAATGTTTTGATTCGATCAGCATTTCTAGAAGTACAGCATTCCAAGAAAAACATTAATTAAACCATCAATTTCTCAAAACTGCTCTCAAAGCGGCGAAGGTATTTTGCTAGATTCTTTTAAGATCGAAATATCTCTTTTTGTTTTCCTTCTTCTGCTTATTCATTGGCGTAGACACCGTTTACCCTATCATAGCCGATTTAGACGTCAATCGAAGCCACTACCACTACGTGGTTCATCCTCTGCTTATGTTTTCATCAGCGAGTATGTGCATATAGTACTTTCAAAGTTGGCATACTGTCATCAATTCACACAACAAGACTTAGCCAACGTAGCCTCTGTCTCTTGATTCGCTATAGTTTGTCAATGTCACCGCATATCTCACACAGCTTATTTTTCTCTCGAAAATTTCTATTATTGAGTATAAGCTAGCGATGTACACTCTTGAATTTGGTTAATTTATTCTTATCCATTATAGGGAGTCACCTTGCGTGATTGGTACCGAGCGGCTCGGAGTAGTCCTTCCTTAAAAAAATCGAAACAGCGGCGAAGAAGCTGAGGTGCTATGTAGCCATCCTTTTTCTACGAGTCTTTTCTAAAATTTCACGAACTGTGAAAATGTTAAGGTCGAATCAGTTCATTGACGGTGGGCTCTAGTCCTTCGCAAAGTACTCTAGAAGAGCGTTGCGAGGCTTCTTCCGGTGAAATTGGCGTAGATTCTGATTAGAATGCGATTTTATTATTACCGTGCCTATTGTACTGCTCAGTGCTGTATAGACATGAGTTGCTGTTTATGTGTTAGACTATTAATTGTGCACACTTCGTTTCTTACTCGCCCACTGCAACGTATTTGCTGTATATTTATGGTATGCTTTTAGGCGCGATTTCAATTTAACACTTATACTTCAGCATCGTATAATCATTTGTGAAATTTTCAAAGTTCCCGAAGGATATCCTGTCAAACTTTTTTACAAAACAAAACTCTCATATCTTTAGTCCACATTTATATTAATCATCCATCGAAATCTATTCTCAACCCCTCATAATACTCAAACAAAAGAGACGCCCCTTCTCACTATCCAATAATAGCAGCAGAGGTGTTGATAGCTGCCAGCGTTTGTGTTGGCATGCATGCCTTTTTAATTTCAAATAGTCAATGCGAACAAATGCATGTATGTGCGCGTATATATATACACCGATGTTTCTTAACAATGATTTTTGATTTCCATTCTAACTTTGCTCTGCTTTGTTCTTTAAATTTTTCTCATCTGCTGTACATTGGTGTAAACAAATATATCAATAGCAATAATAAAACACTTTCCGCTTCAGTGGTATCAATGGCTAAAATATAAAGAAATATTCAGGAATGCAATTTATTTTTCAAATACAAGAAATAATCAAAGATTTCTGGCAATAAAAGATATTTTTCATAACGTCGTCTAAGTGCAAGGAAAAGATTTTTGTTTCTCGAAGCATTTGCTAGCGGCCTCTGGAGGTGTTTATGTTTGTAAATCGAGTAACTTTCATTACGTTTGAGCATTCCAGAGACGGTGAAGAGGAAACGAATTATTTTTTTGCAAGCAACGAGTTCAATGAAGAGATGTACAAAATAAAAAAATGATATTAGATTTTAAGGATTTTTTTGATACAGATAAGAATAGTCCCATGGAAAAGAAGATTGTCTAAAAATGGACAGCAAGCCCGCAGTGAGAGGCAGAGATGAAATGAAGGTTTCCAAAAAAGACACCACTAATCTGAGTAACTCATTTTTAAAGGCGACGGCGAAGTTCTGGAGGCGATTTATTCTTGAACGGATTAGATGAACATTCAAAATGTTGCATTCAATATGCGGCTAACGATTGAAGCTGGTTCGGAAAGGAGAACTTGTGGTCTAGATTTGATTTAGGTTTTGATAAAGAGGTGCTGAATGGAAGTGCTTACAGATGGTTTTACGAATTTGAAAACAGTCGTAGGTCTGTGCTTGATGAACAAAGGGCTTTCAATTGTCGAAGTATTCTCAATAGAACCTCGAGTTATCGGGGTCGGTGGAGGTTGCCGACCGCTCCATCATCAATTATTACTAACAAATAATTATTTCAGGTAAGTATTTCAATATTATTGATTAATTTTTGATACACATTCAAATGGGAATTATATAAATCAATCCAAATTTGACTTAAGCGATGTCAAAATGGCACAAATGAGGTTAAAATATATGGAGGCATAAAGACCTTAGCACTCACGCCACCGCACTGCAGTGTTGAATGGCGTCGCTTATTAGCATGTACTCAAGCAGAGTCCACATTGCCACTGATTTTACACAAAGAGGCCATTTTAGCAGCACAAATTGGCGACAACACTTCCGCTTAGAGTGCTATGCAGCACTTGGGGATGCATGTGAATGTCAACGAGATGCCAGCCAAAAAATTCAGAGCAAACAAAAAAGCTTCACACCTGATTTCTGCACAGATTTTCCACCGAGAAATCTCAGCATTCGCTTGCAAACACAACAACACAACAATAACCGACGCTAGACCACTCACCGAATAAACGGCATACTTGGCAATGAATTTAACGCACCTTGAGTCTGCTAATTTTCACCTGACTTCGCTCTTCTCCACTACGAGAAGATGTAGAAGTATTCCCGCGTTTATCTGCTTAAATCCGCGTCAACACAATGCTCATGCAGAGTAAGAGCTTTGGGCGAATTCCACTTCCAGTTCCACTTCCGTTTCCGCTATTATTATTGTCGTCAATTACCGCCACTGACAATGGTCGCTTGACATTGTTGTTGTTGCTGTTATTTCGCTGTTCCCTTGGCGCTGTTTGCGGTGGCGGTTAAGACGTCGCGTCGCTACAAATTTTGGTGGCTTACGATTAGGTGGTTGAACGGAGGCATCGAGGGAGTTTCGCTAAATTGGGCAACTTTGTATGACTTGTGGCCATCCTAATTACGCATTAAATAAACGTGGCAATGTCTTCGGTAGCGGTTGGAGGAATTTTGCTTCTGTCGCTTGTAGCAGCTAAAGTGCGGTAAG